AGGGGCGGGTGAAGGGGGCTCTAATATCAAAAGCAGTTCAGTCCTTTGTTAATAGTCAACAAATCTGTGTTTACCCTTTCTCTTGAGGGTCAAAAGGTTATCAGACACTTACTCTTCGCACGTCAGCGGAAAGCACATTACATGGTCCTTTCAATAAAGTCATAAAAATGGTAGGTCAGCGCTGAAACAAAAAAGTTTTTCACTCGGTTCGTTAGACCATGTCCTCAGAAAATGTCTGATATCTGACCTTTCCCCCACTGCCTTTTTACCTGTGACCTCCAATTTTACGCTGGTGATGGGTTTCCTCCCTATCACACTATTATATATTAAGAGCGTAGTTCAAGCCGTTGAGATTTGTGCCGCAATTCCGTATTTCCTCCTATACCTTAAGTTAAGGGGGAAATATTACCCCTCCATTGACACACCTTGACCTTTGACCCTTGACCCCCCAAATTCAACATCCCGAGTCCTTTTCGCAATCCCTCCCGATGAATATCAAGACCGTACGTCGAGCGGTTAAGATTTGTGCCGTAACTGTTGACACACGGACGGACAGCCGGACAGACGGACGCACGGACGGACATTCATGCGATTCTACAAGCTGCATCTGACTTCGTCAGCTGAACTAAAAATCCAAAAAACCTGGACAGTTTGACATAATGATCCTGACATTAATTGCTTGCTATGGGCTATGTATGAGTCACGAGTGTATGTTTACATCGACCAATATAGTAAAATAGGAAGTATAATGCAGCAATTTAACCATAAAAAGTGAACAGATTTACTTTATTTTGTGAAAAAGCGACAGGAAGTATAATGCAGCAATTTAACCATAAAAAGTGAACAGATTTACTTTATTTACGGTGACGTAATTACTTTATGGGTCCTTAATCGGCAGGTAAATGGTATATTGGTAGGCTAGACATTTATGATGTGTGGAATGCCTACAGATTGCATGTCAATGGTTAGAAAAATTACTAAAGCAACGTCGGTCTGGATCAGTAGCAAACTGATGGAAGATTTATGCCCACAAATGGTGCAGCTTATTCCATGGCTGACCTCTAGCCAGAGTGATAATATTAATATCAGTATTAGTCTAGGTGGGTTAATAGGGCTGATAAGGTCTATTTCTCCCTGGGTAATACTGCCGGAACGTACGTACCCTGGGTACGGTCCGGTATACCTGAACGTACCCTGGTAACTATCTAATATGCCGGACCGTACCTCTCCTACTCCACTAACGAGTCTAGGGAGTCGCCTACGCCTACTCCCTAACCCTAACCCAAGGCTCAACACTAACTTTTTTTTCAGTGGCCCGATCGCCTTTGATTTTCAATTTTTGGTGGCCCGAAAATGAAATCTGGTGGCCCGAAAAAAAACAAAGAAAAACATTATAAATCTTTATTTCAATCTCGTATTGTATATTATTTGAAAATTGGGCCGTCTGATGCACTTGCACAAGTCTTTAAACAAACGGCACATAATGGCACACACTGACATTGATGATTGAGGCATACATTTGAATTATCCATTCCACGGCATCAAATTTTCACCAGAACCGCATTGTCTGGTTCGCTTGATACAATGTAATCACATGTATGCTGGCGCTTGCAAAATATGCTATGGCCTGCGCCCGCTCAGATTTTGACCTCTGGCTAGACTGGTTCGCGGCCGAACTGTTCGTCGCAGAGCGTGTACATTGTCTAGCAGAGCGTGAGGCCGGATACCAGTCTAACACAATAACGTGGCTTGTTGCAGCCGCAGTAGACGGATAAACCTTGCGCCCGTGTATGCCCACGGTAGAATGCTGCACGTGCGTACCTGTGCCCTCGCTCCGCGAATTGCTCGCTCTCTTTTGAATGAGATTAGCACGTAAGAAACCATTACTTTCATCACATAGACACTTTGAAATTTTAGTGGCCCGTTCGGGCCACCAAATTTTAACTTTGGAAAATTTTGGTGGCCCGACATCAAGTTTTGGTGGCCCCGGGCCACCGGGCCACCGCTAGTGTCGAGCCTTGCCTAACCCTAACCCTAACTCTAACCCTAACCCTAACCCTAACCATATCAGATAGTTACCAGGGTACGTTCCGGCAGTACCCAGGGAGACATAGACCTTATCTGCGTTAATAGGTCGTTGTAAACACATACTGACTGTATATAAAATATAAAATTTCATGATTTATATGAGATATTATTCTTATTATACTTGGTGTGTTAAACATATCTCATGGATAATTAAACAAGAGTATGGGACAATGCTTATTTAGTGTGTACCTGGTTTCAGTTTTCTCAAATTTCCTTGCGAAATTCACAGTGATTTCGATAATCAAGATGTAAAAATTTGACACTTCATCGAATAATTCTGCCTCGATTACCCTACTGCAGAAGCAAAGGAGAAAGGTTGACATGGCGATGATGAGGAAAGAGAACAAGGGTTTGATCGAGGAGATTAACCGGTTGGAGCGGAAGCTCATCAAGTATTCACACGAGCTAAAGGCGAGGAACAACTGGAAGTTAAAATTCCAGATGGAGTATGAACATCTGCTGTATGAGAAGCAGGAGCTTGAGCAAGAACTCGTGAAAGTCGAGCACACACTTGGCAATGCTGAACAGGTCTGTCAGTGATGGCTGTGATTTCATTATCCTAGAAAAAAAAAGATCTAACATAATTAGTTGTCAGTACTACCCATATTCACTCGCTAATTGTGGATTATTATGTTAATTTATACACATGATCGGCTGGTATATGCTATAGTTATAATAACTCCCATATAAAAAGTCGAAGAGAGATATGTATTAACACAGTGTTTCCCCTGCATTGACACGAGCGAGGCGGGCTGCCTCACTCAAATTCTCAGCCGCCACAGAGAAATTTGTCCAAAACACCGCCTCACTGACGAAAATCACTATTCTTCCATAGAACAGTGCTTAGAATGCACCAAAATAGCTTAGAATGCACCAAATTGCACCATTTTTTCAAAAATTGTGACCCCCCTATAGCTTTGACCCAATTCCCCCTTAGCGCAAACACACCAAAAAAACATTTACCACCTCACAGATCTTTTTGGCTAGGGGAAACGCTGTTAACATATATGTGCTATTTTACATTTTGCTCATTGTTTACAAATTTATCACCATTGGCATATGTGCAGTGTGTACAGTTAATTCCAGTAATAAGAATTGGGCTTGCATGACCGTGTTTATAGGTGATGTGCTCACACAACGATACTATTGAAGACTTTGAGAGACATGTAAAGGAACTCGAACGAGACCTGAGACATTCCAAGTCAGAAACATCCAAATATAAGACCTTGCTACTTAGAGTGCAAGAGGATTTCCGCCAGAAATATGGGTAAATGGTTTTTAAAAAAAAAGGTGCAATATTATGTTTAATTAATGAAACAAAACGGCGACAATTTTTTTAATTAAAACTACATTTACATTTCTCACACTGTAGTCTAATTTCCTACATAACATGTCTATATTTTGTTTTATTGTATATAATTTCAAATTTTTGTCTAAATTTGTT